GAATTGAGCTGTTGTTATGTACATACAACAAAATATTTTAGTTTTTGTGTTTCTGATATAGTGTACATTAGAATATTTGAACTTTCTCATGTTTCTTCTTCAAACTAGAATTCAGAGCCACACAGGGTAGAATAATGGAATCAAACTCAGACCAGAAGTAGGCAGAGAGAAAGGTTCCGAGAGGGTATGTTTAGGTAATAGTCCTACGGATCTTCCCTTCCTAGAAAGTGGATTGTGGACTATTTTCTATTTGTAATTGGCTTGAATTTAGCTCAAAATGCAACCTCATCCCCTGCTTAAACATTCCCTCTTTTTTATGGCACTTTCACACCCAGTCTTCATCCAGCCTGAAGTTGTCCAGGGCAGACAAAGATGCTTGATTCATCTAAGTACACCTGTTTCCCTTACTAATACATTTGCTAGGAAAGTAAAATTCGGGTTCAGTGAACAACCAGTTCCATTGGCTGCACTAAGGCATATAATTAAAGGCACTGATTTGACGAGATAGACAAAAAAGAAGCATTCCTTACTTTGTGCATACTGAGAACTCCTGCCAAGGATGCTCCCTGAATGAAAATTCTGGGAAATAGTAATTGATCAGGGAAACCATCCCACCGATAAGGACATCCCATGGCAGGTACGATTCATGCTGAACAGGAACAGGATCAGACACCAGGCATTTCTTTGTTTCTACTTCACACACCCAATGAAGTAGAAGCCATACCAGTAACACTGGCAGAGGGCAGTTCCAAGGGAAGCATTTCCATCCTGGTGCAAATCTTCCCACACCCTTCTACAGCATCTACTTCGCTACAAACGCTCCTTGAACAGGCTGCTGATTTGGCTCAGGTACTCCTTCAACAAAGACTGCTATGCCCACTGCCTAGAGGAAGGCAGTTACAGACTCAAGACTCAGGGAACCAAGAGATTTCAACGATGCTGATGCATTCTGGCTTTTAAGTGTGTGAGATAGAAGTGAGAAAGCCCTTCTGGCCTTTCTGATGACACATGTTGAAAGAATTACATCACATAGTTTATCTTATTATTCTCATCTTGCTTGTGTTCCATCGTTCTGAACCTGCGCTGGACATTTCTCAGGAGGGGAAGAATAATGCCGGGGTGACATGTGGAATAATAGGAAGATAATTATGTCCTGCCTCTGAAAGGCATTACGAATCACACGTTGTTTCGCTTCAATAACAATAAGTTTTCTCTTCTCCTTAGTGTCCCAGCAATTCGAGGGCTTGCATGTGGTGTTGAAATGTAAGCAACAATTTATGGGCAGAAGACATAAGAGGACATGGAGATAAGATGAATTCATCAACATAGGTGCTGAAAAGTGATGTTTAAGGAAGTGAATGAAAGCAAAAGTGAGAATTGTCCAACACTTGAGAAGTGATTCTTGGAACACATTCTCTCATTGCCATATTAAATGTCATCTTTTTCTTAAGGAAAGGAACAACCTAGTCTGTATGACAATGTGTTTGGAATTTCCATTCCCCCCCACCACATATGCACATACACTGTGAACGTCTGCAGAATGAATTTCTGTATGTTGACAAATTGAAAAGGAAAGAAAACTCTTCCTGAAGAGCCCAATGCTCCTCACACCCCCTCATGTTCAACCATTTCCAACACACATCTAACCACCATTTAGGATTCTCCTGGAAAATATTGTCCCTTGCAGAATGGCTAAGTCTCAGGCCCTTGGCCAAACCAAAGAGGGATATCCTTTTCCCTTTGAGTGTGTATTGGTATCAGTATTAATATTTTAGTATTAGTGTTAGTCTTAATTATGATAATTTTCACAATCAGATTGAATGCAGGATGGGAGAACTGGAGGACTAAGTTCAGCTTCACCATAGTTTCATCCATGCACTGAGGGCTCAGGAACCTTCACATTTGCAGACTGATCACAAATGGTTGCATAACTCACAGGTTGTCCCTCAACAACCCTTCTTTTGAGGTTATTTGAAAGTGAATGTCATAGACTTC